GCCATTTGATAGAGGGACTTGGGCATCTAGGGATTTGGGTGTCCGAGGGAGGCCCTGGAACCAACCCCCGTGGACACAGAGGGACGGCTGCACATTGGTTGGATCCTGAAGGTTGAGGGCCACTGTTTGGGGACCGTGTTAAGAAGGATTCTGAGGCTGCGTCCTGCTATCACTGGTTGGTGCCACCCACCTGGGTAAGGTGGCAGGTGCTGCCAGGTGCCTGGGGGAGCTGGCCTGGTGGCAGAGAAAAGGTGAGACCCAGAGAGGGGAAGTGACCAGGACTTTGCGGGGATGATCTGCGGGGGGTGGGGTTTGGGGGGTAGAAAGAGGCAGCGGGGGAGGGCAGGGTGTGTCCTCACTCTCGTGAGATGGCCCCGTGGAACCACTCGGGGACACTGTCCTGGGCCAGCTGGCCCATCTGTGTGTGCACAAACCAGTCCAGTCGCGGGGGCAGCGGCGGCGGCAGCCTCTCGGCCTCGGCCATGGCTCCGGGTCCGGCGGCCACCTGGGGGTGAGAGGGGGAGGTCAGGCTGGTGCCTCCTCTGCTGGCCTCCGCTGGCCTCTGCTGGCCTCCGCTGGCCGGGGTCAGCCGGCTCCAGCCCTGGGCTTGCCGAGACCCACCGGGTGCCATTCATTCGGTGACTGCTCCCAAGTCTCCAAGGACCTTGCCTTTGACTTCAGTCTTATCAGGTCACTGCCAGGGGGACCTGGGAGTCCCCCTTGTGAATAGCTGCCTCCGGTGCAGTGCAGGGGGCGCCGCTCAGGGGCAGCGTGGTCGCGCAGCGGGTGCGGCTCCCTCCGCAGCACCGCAAAATGGAACAAACCAAAGGCGCGCACAGAGCAGGTGGCTTTGCTTGGTTTCGTTTTTGCTTTGCGGGGCTGGGGACGGAAGCCTGGGTCCCTTCCCCTGAGCCCCGCCCCCCCAGCCCTCTTTAGTTTTTATTTTGAGACAGAGCCTTGCTAAGTTGCTGAGGCTGGCCTCAAACTGCGATCCTCCTGCCTCGGCCTCCTGAGTCACTGGGATCGCAGCTGTGCACCACTGCGCCTGGCGGCATGTAAACATCAAGTCCGTGTCAACGTCCCCAGAGGGCTGAGGAGGTGGCGGAATGATGAGTGCCGAAGGAGATGGCGGCCAGCAGCCCGTTGCCAGGGTTTCACTGAACACCAGGGGCCCTGTGGCCTGCAGTGGCTCCTGCCATCAGTGCTGCTGAAGGTGGCGGCCACCGCAGCGCCCCTGCCGCGTGCCAGCGACAACATTCCCACAACTTCAAGTTCAACTACTCTGGGTGGGAGAGTCCCTGATGGGAGGTGACGGGGACCGAGCACTGATTTGCCAGACTCCCTGCAGGAGTCCCCGGTGCCCGGGTTTCTGTCCCCAACCTGGAGCTCGGCCGTCGGGTCCTCAGGGTCAGGAAGGCTGGCAGCTGGGCTCTTCCCAAGGGAGGGCCCTGGACCCCAGCGGCCACTGTTGACTTTCTCAGGTGACAGGCACAGCCCTGGGGTGTGGCCCAGGGAACTCTGAGCAGGCGGAGGGTAAATAACTGTGTCCCAGCGGACCGCCCTCCGCAGCCCACCGCCCACCCGCCACAGCCTCGGGCAGTTGGAAGGCTCTGGTCTGGCCCTGTCTCTGGGGGCTCCCAAGGACAGCGCCGGTGACAAGCTGTAAGGACCCTGGAATTCCCCAACAAGATCCTACAGAACAAGAAGCAAAGCCAAGGGCCAGCCACGGGGCGGAGTCCAGCAGGAGCTTCTTGGAAGCAAAGGAAGGTGAAGGCGGCCCACAGGGAGGGAGGTCCCCACCGCCCCTCGGTAGAGCTGCACTCCACACCTCCACACCCAGGAACAGCCGCAGCCGGCCAAGGGCCGAGCAGACGCTTCACGCCAAGAAAGACAAAGGGTCAACAATATGTGGAAACTGTTCACCGTCTTGGGCAGCCGGAGAGACGCAAACAGACTCACTGAGATCCCACCTCTCTCCAGTCGAATGGCCATTATCAAGAGTACAAGCGACATTCAGTGTTGGCGAGGATGTGGGGAAAGGCACACTCAGACACTGCTGGGGGGACTGCAGATTGGTGCAGCCACTCTGGAAAGCTGGAATGGAACCACCATTTGATCCAGCTATCCTACTCCTCAGTCTCTACCCAAAGGATTTAAAAACAGCAGACTACAGGGACACAGCCACATCAATGTTTATAGCAGCTCGATTCACAATAGCCAACTGTGCTATATATACACAGTGGAATATTACTCAGCCAGAAAGAAGAATGAAATTACGGCATTTGTCACTAAATGGATGGGAACTGGACACTATCATGCTAAGTGAAACAAGCCAATCCCCAAAACCAAAGGCCAGATGTTCTGATATGTGGATACTCACACCCCATAAGTGGGGGTGGGGGAGAAGAATAGAAGTTCACTGGGTTAGAGGAAGGGGATGAAGGGAGGGGAGGGGGATGGGAATTGGAGAAACAGTCGAATGGTGGGATGTGACTTTGCTGTGCTCATGTAGGATCCGGGGCCAGAGCAGCCCTGCAGCATGAGCAACCTTGGGGTGGGAGGTCAGACTCTGTGTGTGTATGACGAGTCGGAGACACTGCACTGTCATGAGAATCAAAAGGAACAAATTAAACGAATAAATAAATAAACAAAAAGAGAACAGGGCGTCTGGAGTCGGAGGCCGATGAGCTGAGTAGGGGTCTAGTTTAGCTCACCCCTCGGCCGCTGCGTGACAGGCCACCTGACCTCCCTGTGCCTGGATTTTATCTGGGCATAATATTCACCTGCTCAGGTGCCGCTGAGGCCGGGGCGTGTGCTGCGAGATGACGTGACTCCGGGGTGACAGGGCTGTGGGTCCCAGGATCACGGCAGCTGAGTAACTCCTGGGCCTGGGGCCCTCCCTGGGCCTTCTCTGTTCGCCCTGTTTAGATCCCCGAGTCCCTGCACTGGCGTCACCGTGGCCTGCGCAGGTGACAGAGCTGCTAAGTGACACCTCCTCAGGACGCAGCCCCCTGGTTAAGGAACACGCGACTCTGTCTGCACGAAGCAGCCCGGCCCAGCCCAGGACCTCTTTTTCCCCTTGGAGGCCAGGGCGGCCTCCCTGCCTCCTCGGGCCTCCTCCCCGGGGCTCCTCCTCCCCTCTCCCTCGCCTTGCTCCCCCAGCAGCTGGGGCTGTTTCTGTCTCCGCCTACACCGACCGACGGGGCTTCCTGACCACCAGGCCCACGGCTGCTGTTCCCTCTGTCCCCTGGGTCCCCACATCACCCGGCCCCGGCAGGGCACCGTGACATGTGCTCATGGGGAGCGGGGGCTGCTGAGGCTCCAGCGCACCCAGCCGCACCCCCGCGAGGGGCCCTGGTCCCAGACTCCCCACCCGCCGCCTTCCTGTGCACCCCCCCAGCCGGGGACTTGAACCCAGGGCCGAGCAGGCCAGGCAGGTGCTGCCTCTGAGCTGCCCCCGGCCTCCCGATTTCCACTGTGAGGGAGGGTGTCACCGCGCTGCCCAGGTGGCCTTGGGGCTGGGTGACAGGAGGGCGGGAGCCTCCCAGCTCCAGGGCCAGTCCTGGTGCCCCTTCCTCCAGGAAGCCCTCCTCCCAGCTCTGCAGAAAATCCTCCTGCCTCCGGGGACCTGGGGACCTGGCCCCCCTGTCCCTGCTGCTGGCCCAGCCCCCTCCATTCCCTGCCTGCGGGTGGGGACAGGTACCTGAGACCCCCGGTGCCGGCCCAGCCTGGGTTCGCTCCGGGCGGTGCGTGGGCAGGGCACCCGCCCTGGTTCCTGCTTCCTCCAGCGTGAGCCTGGGGCGGGGCGCCACCCAGCCAACCGCGGCCCAGGTGGAGGGAGGTGACTCCCACCCCAGGCCAGGACTCACTGAGTACCTACTGTGTGCCAGCCCCCGCGGCCACAGGGAGGACCCAGGGCAGGGCAGACCCCACCCCCTGGTGACTGTTTTCCCCAAGAATGGAGACGGCCCGAGTCTCCAAGGTCCTCACTGCCAGGTGGACGCCAGTCAGGAAGGGCTGGTGGCCTCCCAGAGGGGCCCAGGGGACCTGGAGCAAGGGCACAGGACGCGGGAGGAAGCCCACCCGACTGGGGGGGGCAGAAAGGGGGCAGGAGGTGGCCCGCAGCTGGACCCAGCCTGGACTGGACTGAGGTCTCACCCCCGCACAGGGTCCCCCAGACTGTCCCTGCGGAAATGCTCGCGACCTTGTGTCCCAGGACCCTGTTGGAGTCCAGGGCTGGTGCCCAGAGTCTGCTCACTCTCGGGTGTCCAGCTGTTTCTTCTGATTTTATTTTATTTTTTGAGAGTGAGAGAGAGAGAGAGGGAGAATTTTTAATATTTATTTTTTAGTTCTCGGCGGACACAACATCTTTGTTGGTATGTGGTGCTGAGGATCGAACCCGGGCCGCACGCATGCCAAGGTGAGCGCGCTACCGCTTGAGCCACATCCCCAGCCCCTCTTCTGAGGGCCAGGGCGCAGGCCTGGGGACCGCTGGGCCCCGCTGTGCGGCTGCCCCCGCCCTCGGCCCCCTGAGCGCACAGGCAAAACCACTTCCTCCTCCTCGTGGGGCAGGAAAGGCCCGTCCTCGTCCTCGTGGCTGCCTATCAGCCTGGCCCAGCCGGCCTCCCAGACCCCACTGTGGGATCCAGCTGGCGCCTCCCCCCAGCTCTCCCTCACGGAAGTGGGTTGGGGGAGGGTCTGGAGTCTGTGGGTCAACGACTCAAGCAAGAGACACGGGGACCCCAGCTTTTCACTCACTGCTGTGTGGCCTTGCATGAGTCACTCAGCCTCTCTGGGCTTCGGGTTTCTGCAGCTGTGAACTGAGCAGGATCACATCCTCTTAGTCACGTAAAGATGACAGGAGGGAAGCCTCGAGCAGGGACATGGGCTCAGTTAGCGACGGCATCAGTTCTCTGTGTGGTGACTTGGTCCAGTGTCTTTGGACTTGGCTGGGGTTGACGCAGGCTCCGGCTCGGGACCTCCCAGGCTGGGCCACCTTGGGCAACTCGCTCTACTTCTCTGATCCTCCAGGCCCTCCCTAGCTCCTGGGCTGGCTCCTTGAAGGTGTGGGGCAGACTGTGGGGAAGAGGATAGGAGGGGCCTGTGGGACTTGTCACTGGGAAAGCCCGGCCACCGAGGCTCATGTGCATGGGGAGGGTCTCTGGGTTTCTCGGCCCAGACCCTGAGGCCCCACTCACTCCCCTGACCACTCAGGGATGTGGGCCTCCACACACTGGCGTCCTCAGGATGTCACCGCAGAGTCCCCACCCCCCCGCCATGTCTGCAGTCTACCCATGCATCCTGAGCACGCAGCCCCAGGGGAAGCGGGTGTCACCGCGGTGGGGGCGGCCGGGCTGGGGCTCCAGGGCCCCCCTCCTCCCAGCAGCCTTTCCAGGGGACCATCTGGAGGCCTCAGCGGGCGGTGGGACATTTGCAGCCCCTGTGGGTGGCCACCGGGCAGGCGGGCAGGGCACATAAAGGGCCAGCACAACACTGCCACATGGGGACCGATTCTGGGCACAGGAACCTTTTGAGGGATACACTCAAGCCATATCCAAACCTTAGCACCACACAATGGAATATTACTGTGCCATGAAAAAGAACGGGACCCTCACCTGTGCCACAGCCTGGATGAACCTTGAAAACACGATGCAGAGTGACAGATGCCTGCCGTGAAAGGTCACACGGTGCAGGGTTCTTTTGAGAGGAAATGTCCCAAACAGGTGAATTCACAGAGCCGAGAAGTAGATGGGTGGTGGCTCGGGATAACCAGTGGGGCAGGGTGACAAAGATGTCCTAAAACTCCTTGTGGGTGTGGCGGCACAGTTCTGTGGACAGAATTGCAGGTCTCGGTGGGAGAGCTGTATGGTGTGAGGACATCTCAATACAGCTGTTCCTCAAACAAAATTCAAGATGTGAGTTCTCAAGGGGACACTAGCAACAGAGCCACCCCCAGGCCTGCCCCATCATCATCTCAGTCCCTGGGAATAAGGCAAATCGACTCCTAAAAAGAAAAGGAAAAACCCTCTGTGCTGGGAGCAGTGGCGCACGCCTGTCACCCCAGCAGCTCGGGAGGCTGAGGCAGGAGGATGGTGAGTTCAAAGCCAGCCTCAGCAACTTAGCGAGGCCCTGTCTCAAAATACAGTATAAAAAGGGCTGAGGCTGTGGCTCAGTGGTAAAGCACCCCTGGGTTC